ACAGGTAATCACAATATGATAGTAGTGATTTTCATGATTAAACTAACCAATTTTTTTAGTTGTATATATATAACCAATTTTTTATTTTGGCATATCATTTACCTAGTGCACTTAGAAATACAATATAATTTTATTTTTAACTTCATATTAAAATAATTAAGAGCCATATATTTTATGTAAAGTATGTAGTCGGAATTTACAGCATGAAAAACGTGGCAAACATTTTTTTCAACTTGGTAACACTATTTGGGTTTCAGATGATTGTATTTCAGGTAACTATACTAAATCTCCCTTTCAACCATACTTGCCGCAAAATGGCAGAGGACAATGAAAGTGTATCCCATCTGTTATCCTTCTGTCCGGCGTCGAATTATCACTTTAGGAACTTTCATTTTTTGAGAATTTTGGCGAAGTACAAGATTTCCTTCTGAATAGCATTATAAACTTTGTCAAAGGAAATAAGTGGTTCTAACCCTTGAGTTTTTAATGAAACGGTAACACAATGGGTCAATAGGCCTGAGTGGATCCCTTGCGATCGCCAGTATAACCTAACCAAACACTGCATGCTGTTACCATATGACATTCAAGCGTAATTTGTTATCCACTGTGTTTAAGCAAACTGATTTAGTAATTATACTTTTGAATGCGAAGCGATAGCACGAAGACATGGTTTGGCAAAATATTTAAGGAATAGAACATACCTGACATAACTACGAAGCTATGTCGCAACATGTCAAAGTGGTCTTAAAATAATATTCGCCGAAAAAGTTGGTGGATTGTATTTAGAGCTGATATTATTATATTTTTATTAACTGTTTAATTTAGCACTTTTTATGCAGAATATAAAAACTTTTTACGCAGAACATACTATATGATATAGTCAACTAAATTTTGTTATCTAACTTAATATGTGCATATTGCAAAAAAAATCTGTTTGATGCTCCATTTAATAAGCTTAAAACACAATTTGAATACTATCACATATATTTATATATTTGATTACTATTACTATTAACTAATAGTAATAGTATTAGCTATTATTATAGCTAATATATTCGAAACTATGCCTGGACTATGAGTCTTTTACATCTTCTTTACTGTGGTACAAACATTTTGGAAAACTTAATATACTGAATATACATAATAGCAGAAAGGTAATTATTTATTATTATAATTATTTTGTTTTTGTTTTATTATTATTGCATAATTTGGAATAATTTTTTTTGAAATGGCAAAAAATTAAATATTATTTTAACACATACAAGACTGTTAGAATGATTAAAGCTCAATATATTCATATGTCTTTTTTTTCAGATAATGACCAGTAATAAATTGATTATATAGTAGGAATGTTGGTTAGGTATAAAATCGTCACTGGTGATATCACTATTTAAAAACGCAATCTTGTAATAAAAAATGAAATATTCTGCTTAATTAAATTGATTATTAGGAATGAAGCTTATTAAAGTAGGTTTTATATAAGTGGTTTATATTAGTGGAGTTTACTTGTAAATATATTTATTTATGTAATTACACTAGACTACAAAATTTTACACTGTTTTGCATACTGTCAGAGTATTTTAGCCTGATAAATTTGAAAATTTTGATAAAATGGTCCATATTAGCAAAAAAACGTTTATTAATACCCTTTCTATTCCGATAATCAGAACTCAACTTTTGTTTAATGTATTAATATTAACTAGTTATTATATAAAAGAAGCTTAGACTATTAGACTTTTAAGATATATATGCTATATATATCAAACAATATTATACATTTATTATCATCATTTGTTTAGGACAAATGTTAACCTATTTTTCGAATAAAATTGCCCTTATTACATAGGATCGCTTGCTTATATGTAATACTGGATTCACACGAGAGTTTTGTTTGTAATTTTAGCTGTCAATTGTTGTTGCTTTCAATGCAAAATGAACATTTTTGACAGCTAAATACAAACAAAACTCTCGTGTAAATCCAATAAAATGAAAAAGAACACTCGTTTCCAGATTTGTACCCATTTTTGACCAAAATAACCCTTACCGATAAAATATCATTACCTAACACCAATGCAATGAGGGCTTGCTTGTTTACCTGACTAAGTTATCCGCTTTTTATATATATATGTTGTTTTTGTTTCTAAAAAATTATATATTCATATGCATATAGATAGGAGTATTAATGTATAATCGTGTATTTATATTCTTTGAAATATTGATTTTATTCTATATTATATATTATTTTCTATTCAATATTCCATTTTTTCTATTTTTATTCATTTAATAGAACTTTAATTGGTTCAGTAGACATGGATCTACGACTAGTGTTGCCCTTTTTGTAATGTAAATTAAATGAATTATATTAAATGATTGAATATTTATAAATTTTTTAGAATAAATTTAAATATAGACATGCTTTTTATGGTTTTTATTAGTGTATCGTACAACTAGAAAGTTATAACAGTAGGTATTAGTTATTAAAAAAAGTTCTATTGAGCAACTTGAAGGCAGTAGTTTGATTTTATTCTAGGTCGTTTCTACGTTCATCAAATCAAGAAATCCCATTATTATTATACAGCAGTCGATCGACTTGTATGTAGCTGTAGATTTCGTATTTTGAGAATACAGTACCACTTTTTAAAACTTATTTAAATACTCTACATCCAATATTATAAATTTAATTGCAAGGAACAACATAATGGAACAGTTGTTGTTGTCCTAATCCAGGAGGGGTGAGCAGAAGGGCGAAGAGTTTTAAAATGTAATATGACCTGCTCTGGAACACTGTTAACTTCATATCTATGTTTGATTCTATTTTCGGTGTTCCACAAGGATATTTCATTTTACTAATCTTACTCATAATCCATAGTGATGTTTTTAAAAATAAGTAAATTTTAAATAGTTTCTTCAAAGGGATTTTATTTTGATAATCTAGAACAGGGCTGTCCAAAGGACGGCCTATGGGCCACATGCGGACTGCGGCATATGTATGTGCGGCCCACGACTTGTTTTTAATATATTACAATTTCGCAAATTTTCATTTGGTGTATTGGCAGAACTACATTATTTTTAAATTGAATTTAAATTGATAAATTAATAAAATTAAATTTAATATAACCGTATTTATAATGTTATAAAGTATGTATAATGACAACTATGAACGTATGTATTTGTTTCTGCGCCCTCCAATCTGCACAGTAATTTATATTGGCCCGCGATCGCATCTAGTCTGGACAGCCTTGATCTAGAACATCGAAATTCAAAAGAAGTAGACTAAAAGTTAGCGTATGGACTTCCTAAAAATCGAATTTGATTATTAGGTGGAATAACTGATCGATTGAAATTTTGTGTATAGACATTTTAAAGATCAAACTTAAAGACTTGATGTAATAACTAATTTATTGGCTGAAGTTAATATTTGATCCACTTTTATTCTCTAGTAGACGTGATTACTTGGTTAATACACTGATAATTACATCTAGTTATAGTCTTGATGTAATTTTAATTATATCTGTTAACCAAGTGATTTTTCTTAAATATTAGATTTAAAAGTCCAATATATTCGCCAAAGTTAAAAATAGAATTGTAGTTTTTAACGAGTTTAAATATGTATTCTGGTGAGTACTCATAATATCAAAAAGGGTGAGGGTTCTATTCCTCTATTTTTCTTCTATGTCTTCAAGAATTTTTTTCTGTTTTTGAAAAAATAGTATAACATCATTTGTTATATATTATATAAATGGTAATAAGAATAACCACAAAACTTTACAAATCTAATTGGCTTTAAATAGGTAAAATCTCCATGGGCTCAAGTAATTTTACAACGAATTTTAATTTTAATTCTAGTCTCGTGTAACGAAAGTTGTAGTTTGCAGCATAATCGGTGTCATGGTTGTATAATTGCATTATAACACATTGCCGACATTGTCCGCGGTCGATCTGCGGACATGTCTACGTTGGACTGTACTAGATTATAGCAAAATAGAATCTTTGTCGAGATTTTTCACAACTGCACCAAGCGGTTGGATGTACTATAGTTGATATCTGTATATGGCAATTCATAAAAATAGCTAGATTCTTCTCTATTCAACTTATGTTCAAATGACTACATGTTGGTAATCGTTCATATTCTATTCTATTTAACATTTTTTATATTCCTGGAGTACTATATCTAGCTAGTGCACCCATTTTAAAATTACCAGCGACATGTCAGTAAGAGTAAATCCAGAGAAGAGAAATATTGAATGTAGTAGCTAAAAATAGTTTTAGCGGAGAATGGGACTGACCTCAAAAGTTTTAAAGCAACTTGACTGCTTGTAGAGACTGAAAGGCCTTACCCTTATTACTACTATTAAATGCGCCACTGGTGCATTTTGCTTTGATGTATGAGTCGTTAAGCGCAATGAATTAAGCTTTAAACTCACTAAACAGATAATTATATATTTTTCTAATTTCATTTTTAATTAGGCAGTTTTGTATGTAATTTACTTGTTGAATTCTTTTAAACTTTTGCTCATTAACAAAAGTTCGGGTTGAAGTCTTTTGGGGTTATGCAGTTCACAAATAATGTACTGTAATAACAATTAAAAGTATTACATTCCCTTTATATATACGTTAATAATCCAACGTACAAAGTAATATATACGTGAAGTGAGTTATTTAAAAATTATTTTAGCATAATAATGTATTAAATTTTTTGTTGTTTATTTATTTTGGCGACCAATAAGAATGCTGCCCTGGCAATATCCATGAAATTTAAGTAAAAGCAACAACAACAGTACACCAAATAACAGAGAAGTTATTCATAGCCGCAACAAAGGTGCTTTCTGCCGCCAGAGCAGAAATGCCAACAACAACAAACACAACAGCAATAATAAAAAGAATTAATGAACAAAGGCCCACGTACAATAAAAAAGTAAAAAAAAAGTGATATGCTACAATTTTTTAAACTACTAATATTAATTATTGTTTATTAGAACAAAATGAACAAAGGAAATTACCTTATTTAAAGTTTAATGGCAGATAATATTTTGTTTTTTTATTTCAAATAGATTTGTTTTAATTATTCAATGCGATAACAGAATTCTGCTTAGCAAATTTTTTATACGCACGTTTTTTGCATTTAAAGCTTAAACACGTTTTCGCATTTTTAATTGCATGTTTTTGTATCAATAATGCAGTATTGTTTACAATATTTTATACACATTTTAAGTTCTATGCATATGGATGTAATTTATCACCGAAAACTGCACCACCTATGGTTTAGAGAATTTTTTTGTTTCATCCATATATTCACTGTTAGTATTTTTATTTAATTTTTGCACTTTGCTTATGATATTATTTCAATAATTAAAGAAAAGTACAATCGTTCACTCACAAATTCTTTGCTTTACTTTACATTTTATGTCGTCGTTGTTATCGCAGTTTTTACGTTTTCGGTTTGTGTTTTGACATTTCCACATCTGCACACCATTTAACAGATGTTTCGCAACAACAAGTACATTTCGTAAACAATAAAACTAAACAGCTGTTCTACAAGTTGTAGCAGTATAGTCATTTCATTCTAACATATGATTTAAATTGTTTGAACGTCCATTGCCCAAATAAATGCGTTAGATGGCGGTTTACCTAAATTTAACAGAAATACTAAATGTATGTTAAAATATTAAATATTACATATGAAGTGATAACATTATATTCCTGTCTAAAATGTAAAATAAAATTTAAATTAAATTAAAATAAATATTAAGTTGTGTTATTGTTGAGTTATAATGTGGTTTTATTAGTATTTAAAAAATAAAATAAATTTAAGTCATTAATATATGTATATTCATTCAGTTGGAATGAGTTAAGTTCGAAATTTAGTATAAATGTAAAGAAAATGTTAACAGTCGATGATGTGAAAAGTTTTCTTTCCGCATAAACAATTAATAATGGTACTAAGATATTATTTATTAGAACATTGTAATATGAAATTAAATCTTGTTTTAATTAACAATTTGTACTATATTAATAATGTATTATATTAGAAGTGTGAAGAATAGTTGTTAATTACATGTCTCATATATATGAGTTTCAGTATATACAATAGATTTTATTGTATAAAATACATAAAATAGATTTTAAAAGGGTTGGGAACTTGTCACCACGTTACTGCATCCTTTGAGAATAATAAATTTTATAAAATTAATACATACATATATAAAAATTGAATAGTGAAGTCGCAACGGATGAACTTGTAATAAAACTACTCTAATCAAAGTCTGCAATGAATTAATAAGATATATCTATGAATCATACATGTTGGATCAGAAACTTCAAATACAGAATATACAACTCTATAATTTTTTCTCTAGTTTTGTATTTTTGTATAAATTAAGTTTTTATGAAACAATTTAATATAGTTGTACTCATGGTGTGTGCAAATTTGTAGATCTTAAACTTTAGCATTCTTTCCAACGATTTGGGGGCCTGTTTAAGTGTCCATTTAATGAAAGTTTCACCGCTTTTGGTGTTTGTTGCTTGATTTGCATAAAAATATTTAATTTTAACTGATTTTTACAGACATCAGGAATAAACTTTATATCCTTTGTTTTTAGTACAGCTCTTCTAATTTTCCCATCTCTTTGAATTTTTTTAAACGTAGCACTGAATATTTTACCCCTTGGGTGCGACGCTCTAGTTAAGATTTAATATTTCTCTTTGTTTATTTTAGATATCAGAACGTTCAGAAAATTGTTTAATTTTTCTATTGTGATTCGATATCTGCTACGTTCTAGATCTAACTCATTATTTATTTTTTCACTTTGTTTACACTTTGAAAGTCACTATAACAGAAATTCATAGTTCGCTTATTGAAATGATTGACCGTCCTCTTTCTTCACAACATATAAAATGGTTCCCAGTCTATATTTTTTGTTTTTCTAATTAAAATTTTGGGTCGAAATGCTTCACTTTAAATATAGATTTAATTAGAGTTTTGAAGATATAGACACTACCCACTTTTTCGGAGGGTTAAAGATATAATTCTAATTTAATTTCTCAGTTTTTCTTTATTTTGGAAGTTCAAATATTTTGAAAAATTTGGGAAAGATGCGGAAATTAAATATAAAACAGGATGTAGCAGAATAAATTTTTACTAGGCATCTCGATTCAAGTATTATGGAGTGTTTAAATAGAAATGCTTTTCTTTATTTGAATTTGAATTAAAACAAATTTGCACGTACTATATACATAGATGTATGGTATAAACAAACATATGCTTTTTATTACACCTCACTAATATTTCAAACTTGCTACAAAAACATTTCGAAAGTACTAATAATGTTCAATTACCGACTGATTTTGAAGACCTATCATAGTTGAAAAAAAAGTGATATTGTTTTTAATTTTGATGTTATAAATTTAATAAATTTTTCGGGACAAAAAAATGGTTTCTTTCAAAACTTAGGGACTTTACATATCCAAAAAATAGCAACGCTACCAAATAAAAGTTTTTGGATGGAATAAGATATGTAGGTTGGAGTGGCGGCCTTGTAACTAAGAAAGTCCACACGACTGGTATCACAAGAAAGGCGTTAGTGCGAACATAGACTGATAGGTCAGTCTACGTTGTCCTGTGCCAAATATGCTGAGACAATCCAAAGAACCAAAATATCCGTTTGTATTCAGTGCGAAAACCCGATTGTTCGCAATCGAAGGTTCTTGGATGAGCAGAATGTTTTCTTCTTTTTCAGCCAGGTGGAGGGTGAGGGTTGCTGAACCGGTTTTAGAATGTTGGTGGTTGTATAAATTAAGTGGTTTCGATGACGGTGCTGCTGAGCTTATCCTTGCCCGACATTGGTGAGATCTTGTGAGACAGCGCCATAACTGTGAAGAGCTTGCAACGAGACGAGTTACACTGTCTTCGTCTTCGAAAGAGAGGATGTTGATTTTGTCACACATCTCCACATTGGGAGTGTTGGTTTTAGTAGTAACCACGTCTTTGTCATCAGAGGCCGGTTCAGAAGATGCAACCCCAGAAGGTTGTGGGCGAGTGACTTGAGAGTCACTTTTATATAATTTTATGTAAGTAATAAGAAATTAAAGGAAAGTTAAACTTCTGAAATGATGTGTATTGAAATGATGTGGTCCAACACCGAAGAGCAAAATGTGTTGGACCAGTAAATTTTGTTATGACTATTACATTTAGAAATCTTAAGTAATCTGGGATGGACTCGATTTTTAAAGTAGTCACATTTTATTTCAATTATTCTAATCTCTGGGTAAATAAATAATAAGTGATTATGAGTAGAGTAATCGAATTTCCCAATACATTACTTTTACTACTATCATACTTGTATGTCCTAATTTAAATGGTACTTAGGCGATTAGTTTGTATTTTACTCTTTAACTAATTTACACATTAAGGAGTAGTCGATAATATAATACTTTGAACTCTATTTATTTATTTAATCAGCATTTATTTAATAATTAATTAAATGATTTCCTCAAACAAATTCCACAAAATAAGTTAGTGAATCCCCTAAATAAAATTGATTTAATTATAACAAATACTGTGAGTTTGAGCAAATTCATCAAAGCGTGCGATGTATACGTATATAAGCTTATCGTTTGTGTACTAAATAGTTGAACATTTTGTAATGTCCTTTGGTACATCGTGCAAATGAGCAATTTATTACTGCTTAATTGAACATTTTCAAATATAAACAACACAACAATAACAACAGCAAGAACAACACATGAACAACAATCACATTTACTATTATTTGCAGTACAAATCGGATATGAAACAAGAGCGTACGAGTATATATACGAGCATATAGACGGGGTATTAAGCCAAATGTCGCTGCTTAGCAAAGGAAGCGGTCACATCATCATGAGTATAAATGACCGGATACGAAAGGACATGCTATCAAATCCTGTTCTGAACACATCCACCCATAAACACACCCACACACCCACACATCCACACACCCACAGATCAATGTAAGATTACCAGAGCTGCCACAGTGAGACCAACACAGTACAACAGTTGCAATAATAGTAACAGGAAAAATCCTTAAGGAAGCACAAAGCAAGGATTGACAAGTTGTGTATGTACAGGAAGTAAGCCATGGATGAGTAGGGTGAGTAGTGTAGTGTGAGTAGAGTAGCGTATATGCTCATATGTTTGCCTTTTGTAAAGTAAACAAATCAATGATCGATGATAACACATGTTATTAAATGAGCTAACAGCCAGCAAGCAAGTAAGCTTGAAAGGAAGCTATATTGTTCCTGTCACAATGTACATAGCTTGTTTTCTTTACTGTTGCTTGCTTGGTTGGTTGGTATAGTTTTTATCAATTTAAAATGAAAAATAAATTTAAAAAAGAATTTCAAACAGTTACTGTGATGAGATGTTGACTACGTAGTTGGCGTTGGGCAGTGAGTGGTTGGAATAGCAGCAGGCGGGCCACTGGTGTGCACTACTAAAACCGCAGCACATCAATGTGTCATTGCAATGGCTCCTACTATTATTCTTGCTGTTGCTGCAGGATGTTTTACCAGTGACTTGGTTGTGAAGTAAGTCGCTTACTTACAAAAGTGCAAATGTTGAAATGTGCTGACATAAGAAAAGATAAGGTAACTACAATATAAACGCTAGTGAGTATATATTCCCACACATACATAAAGTCAAATTTAACAGTTTCGTTTAACATCAAAATAAATACGACAACCAAATTGTATGCAACTTTCCTGCACATTGACGGATTTATAAGGACAGAGCATTTATAAGAGAAATTCATATAATTGTATTTATGAACACAATAGTAATATGATGAAATGAATGACAAGAATACTCTCGAATGAAAGGCTGTGGCGTGCTACCACGCAGAAACCAATAGGTCGGGAAACACGATTGCGAAAATACAGATGGTTGGGTCACAAACGATGTAGCATACGCCGTACTCTGCTGGAACCTACAAGGCAGAAGAACACAAGGACGCCCACACAATACCTGGCGTATGACAATAGAACGTGAAACGATGAAATCTATAAATTGATATAAAAATTATCTGCGGTTGTGGTACATTTTTTAGCACTAATTTTCTTTATTAAAAATCAATTTTAATCAGTTATATATTAATCACTATTATTTATGATATCTTGCCTTGATATCTTGGGTATGTTTATAGTTCAATTGGTGTAGAACTTCTGCTCTACACTGATGTTATTACGAGCAGCTCGTAAAAGACAATTTCCTCCCAATACCACCAAGAACTTAGTTAAAAAGGTGTTTACCGTAAATACAGGCTTTGAAGTCGTTTGTGTTGAGTCACTCGCTTAAAACCATAATCATTTACATTAGATATTCTCGTCTTTAATCCATGTTTCATCGTGCGGAATGATTCGCTTATAAAGCGATTTTGTTGCGTTTAAAAAGATTTTGTTGCGTTTAATCAGCGTTTTGCGGATGTTAATTCGGTCAATAACAACTAAGGGTTATGTGGTTGATGCCCAGGCCATACTACGTATTCAGTTTTCCTTGCCGTTTAATCTTAGAAAAGTAGGTATCTCAAAAAATTTGATTTTGTAATTAAAAGTATACCAATTCATTGTACGGCGAGTCAGCGATACTAGTGTAAGACATTATAGTTTAAGTAGAATAGTCTGTTTTATTTAATATGTGATAGCAATTCTACATAAATGAGAGGATTTATGTTTTCGATGTAGTTTCTGGAAAGCAATACATGCATTTAGATGTTCGTAATACGAGGGCTGCTATATATATTTCTGGCCTAGGCAACACTAAGTGCTGCCAGGTGCAATCTGACACTTCCATTGGAAAGGTTGACATTTTTTATCATAACATCACTCAGAACGTGTTGTCATTTAATTGTGAATTGTTTTATTTACAGAGACTTGAAAAATTCATCTCGGTCAAAAAATGGAATTAACACGTGATCATTTTTGTGCGATCATTTTTCACAACTTTCGACGTGGATTATCACGACAAGAGTGCATTGATGAACTTAAATCTTTGTATGGCGCTGAAGCACCATCCTATACGAGTAGCAATGTGAAAAACTGGTTTAATGAATTCAATCGTGGCCTACGCTCGATCAACGACGAATTCCTTGAAGGTCGTTCAAAAACGGCTGTTGCAAGATCGTCATGTGACATACCGTGAGATAGATGCATCCTTGGGCATTTCTCGCACCAGCATACATTCGATATTGAAGACCTGGCCGTAAAAAAGGTTTATTCTCGTTGGATTCCGTACAATTTGACAATCAACAGGTCAGATACTTATAAGATATAATACACTTCAACACTGACTGAGTGTTGTTAAGATGTGTATTTCGGATTAGTAATCACTATTATGTTAACCAGTAGCTTTTCCTTTAGAATTTAATGAGGTCTCTGACAACAGTAATATGACAATTCTGCGGAACCCTTGCAGACTGATACTTTAGTCATTGTGGTCCGACTTTTAGTCTTGGCTGGATACTTGCACATTA